ATAATAAAAATAACAACAATAATAATAATGGTAGTAATGACAATATATAATAATGATGAATACTGATAAGGATAAGGATAAGGATATAATAATAATATTAACATTGATAACAATAATAATAATATCATCATTGTCATTATCATTATTATCATATTATTATAATTACTATCATTTATTATTATTATTATTATTATTATATTATTATTATTATATATTATTATTATTATTATTATTATATTATATTATTATTATTATTATATATTATTATTATCATTATTATTATTATTATTATATTATCATTATTATTATTATTATTATTATTATTATTATATTATTATTATTATTATATTATTATTATTATTATTATTATTAATATCATTATTATCAGCTTATCTTTCTATCTTTATTATATTTATCATTATTGTCATTGTTAATAATAATAACAATAATAGTAATAGTAGTGCTAATAATGTTAAAAACCATAGCAACAGCAATAATATAATAATAATAATGATAATGATATAAATAAACAATGATAATAGTAAAACTATAAACAGTAATAGTATTGAATAATAATAATAATATAATAATAATAATAATAATAATAATAATTAATAATAATAAATAATAATAATAATAATAATAATAATAATAATAATAATATCACTAATGAATAATAATAATGATAATAATAATAATAATAATAATAATAATAATAATAATAATAATAATATGATAATAAATAATAACATAATAATAATAATAATAATAATAATAATAATAATAATAATAATAATAATAATAAATAATAATAAATAATAATATAATAATAATAATAATAATAATAATAATAATAATAACAATCAAAATAATAATAATGATAATAATCATCATTATCACCATCATAATTATAATCATTATCATCATAATAATAATAATAATGATGAAATATGATGATGATGATGATGATGATGATGATTGATGATGATGATGATGATGATGATTGATGATGATAATAATGATGATGATAATAATGATAATAATTATAATGATAATAATAATTATGATAATGATGATAATAATATTAATAATAATAACAATAATAATAATAATAATAATAATAATAATAATAACAATAATAATAATAACTACAATAATAATTCAAAAATAATTGCATTCATTATAATAATGCTAATAATAATATAAATAATAATGACAAAAGTAACCATAATAATAACAATAGCAATATAAATAACAATAATGAAATTACCAATACAAGAATTAATAATAATAATGATCATCATCATCATCATCATCATCATCATCATCATAATCATCATTATCATCATCATCATCATCATTGTATTAAGAAGTACAATAATGATAAGAACAATTACATTAATCATGATAATGGTAATAAAAACAATAAAATAATATTAATAGGGTTACTAATTACAGAAATAATAATGATGATGATGATGATGATGATGATGATGATGATGATGATGATGATGATGATGATGATGATGATGATGATGATGATGATGATGATAATAATAATAATAATAATAATAATAATAATAATAATAATAAAAAATAATAAGGATCATAATATCAGTAATAATAATAATAATAACAATATTGATAATGATGATGATGATGAAAGTAATAACAATAATAATAATAATAACAATAATAATGATAATAACAATAATAATGATAATAACAATAATAATGATAATAATAAAATAATAATAATAATAATAATAATAATGATAATAATGCTAATGATAATAATAAAATAAAATAATAATAATCATAAAAATAAACATCTACTTTAGAAATCTTTTCTGTTCTGTGCACATGGGACACAGGAGTAGGCCTACTCCTTGCATGACAGCTTTCTCTCTACACATCATGCTAGACGCTGAACCACGACACAAAACATCTACCTCAGGGTAATCTACACATTTAAACACAACATGCTACCAACACAGATGTGCAGCACTGTTTAAAGGTACAGACAGCGATGTGTTATTGCTGTAAAAAAAAATTGTTTACTGAAAAGAGTGCATAGTTTTGAATTGTAGGCCTATGAGTGTGGTGTTCTGTGGATCGCCACGCTGGTGAATTCAGTGTTGGTGTAGACTGTTTCTGTTGTAACACTGATACACTGAGTAATATCTATAGCAATGCCGATGTATTCAATGGAGACTAAAGCGACATTGGTAGAGACAGTGACGAACTACGGTTAAAAATGGCATAACCAGTCTTATTCCTATGACGCTACCACACTAAAAGACAGTGCCTGGAAAATTGGTGACATGCTACAAGAACCCACCAATTTCTTGCTAAGCTAAAGAGATGTTCTCCAGAAGCATTTCTAAGAAGACTTAACTGTTGTAAGGACTGTGTGTGTGGTGTGTTGGGTTTGTGTTGTGTGTGTGTTGTGTGTTGTGTTGTGTTGTTGTGTGTTGTGTTGTGTTGTGTTGTTGTGTTGAGTTGAGTTGAGTTGTGTGTGTGTGTGTGTGTGTGTGTGTGTGTGTGTGTGTGTGTGTGTGTGTCTGTGTCTGTCTGTCTGCCTGTCTGTGTCTGTCTGTCTGTCTGTCTGTGCGGCTGTACGTTTTATCGGAGGGTAACATGCCCACGCATGGATATGAGTGTTGCCAAGTACATGGTCTTGGCGAAAATAGAGAGGGTCATCAGTCCATTTCCATAAATCATAAAACTTTCGACAACCAACATACTATTGGTCTCGATTTGTGAGTTTCATAGAGAAATGAATTTTTATTGAGAATGACTAGTTTTCCCTCTAAATTGATCCAAAAACAGTGAAAGAAAGTTATCTGTAGATCCGATAAAGTTGTTTATGCTTAGCCGCGTGTAAATGATGTTTAGGGTCGAAGGTACCTACCATGTTGTCCATAACCATAGTCTAGATACTTTCCTTTTGTGTTGTGTGTTGGGTCAGAACAAGCCTTCTAATAGATCTCATACCCGTGCTGTGTTCATGACTATGTGTGTGGGGGAGGGAGGGATATATATATATGTGTATAGATGTACTGACTTAGCAAAAAACGTATAGATGATGGCGAAGGCGTGGAGGGACACCCTGAACAAGCTCTTCAACCACTTGCCGAGTTTCAGCTTAGATGGCCTGCAATGAGGGGAGGGAGGGAACTTGTTAGAGCAACTGTACATAAAACCTTCAGTCAAAACTTGGTTCTAAGTTCTCCGGTTCGCTCATCCCGCGTTCTGCTATATCTGTCGCGGTTTCCTGGGGGACTTTACCATGGGATAGGGTGCATCACATGATAAACACTACACATCGTATATATATATATATATATATATATATATATATATATATATATATATATATATATATATATATATATATATATATGTACATATATATCTATATATATATATATAGAGAGAGAGAGAGAGAGACAGATAAACAGACATATAGAGAGAGATACATTGCTTTAAAAAAGAAAAAAAAAAACATACAGGAAATACATAGGAAGATACACCCTGCAGTGTATGTCCCAGCACCAGCATCATGAATTAAAATAGACCAAGTGCCGTTCAGACTTTACACAATCAATAGACACGTGTGAATGGTTTCGAGTGTTCAGCAGAGCGACTGTGAAAGAAAATCAATTGGTGCAAGTTCGGACAGAGATAAGTGGAACAGATAACAACTTGAGCAGACAGAATATTAAAAGCATTTTTTCCAGATACTACAAAGCTTTTTATCAATATAAGGTGATGAAACCTATACGAAAGCAACTGATTTAAAACATCCAAGATATTATATTATGGTGCATATATATTACGTTTCTCTTCACATATTTCTTATAGGGTATGCAGTCAACATAATCAAAGGTGCTTTAAATTACCTGAAAACAGTAAAAATCAAGTACAGAGACGGAGATAAGAGACACATATAAGCAGATAAGAAACTGCATGAAGCCCATCTATCATAAAACCTGATTTTGGAAAGCCAAACATTAAGATGGACAATTAAAGAGTACACAATTCTACAGGTTTAATTAAATTTGAGGGAAAGGCTATATCAGTAGCAACTCGAGGAGGTGTCCTATCGTCTGATTCTATTTTTGGAAAAAAAAAAAACATGGAGTATATTTTGATGACGTCACAAAAGGTACGGATGCTTTGTGAATATGGTCGATCTTTTTAGTCTCTTCACTTTTCAAAATGATGGAAAATAATTATTTTAATGGTTATATTTTCATTGAACAATCATCAAAACAGACGTCATGACACCTCCCCGAGTTGCTACTGATCTAGCCTTTCCCGTTATTTGATGCATGCAATTTTCGGCTAAGAATTGTGCAATTATATTAGCAGCAAGCAACAAATATAACACTTGAAAAGAAACATCAACACTTCATACTACTTCTTAAAGATAGTTATAAAACCATAACAGTACCATGCTCTATATAAATCTCAATCATACTAACAAGCATGTTAGGGTTTTAATTGTTCATCATATGTTGATTTATTAGAAAAAAAATGTCTAGGGATTGAAAAGTGTATAGGACTTTTCAAGAGCTAGTACTTTTTTTTTTTCTTAAAGCAAACAATTTCTCTTTCTTACGTTGTATATGTTTGTAATCATTTTCTAGATGTGGGTATGTTTGCGGAAGTGTTTTCCTTTCTGTCTCTATATTCTACAATGTATATATGTGGAATCGACGTTTGGACTCTCTCTAATACCATTACTACTTTCACGTAATCTTGATACACTCTCCCTATCCCCTCTTCTCCCCATCTCCTATTCCATTTTCTCATGACTTGTCCATCTTCAAGGTAGACAGATTGCCCCATCCATCCCTTTTCAAACTTTCCTTCGAGCTCTCAAATTCTTGATCTTGTCCAGTTACATTTATCCCTTATATGAGTTTGAATATCTTTATCTCCACTTTATCCCTACCTTATCCATCCACTGTTTCTTCGTCACCACTATCACT